AACAAATCAATCAAATGGATCCGAAGACAACGAAAGAGACATCAGCAATTATGGCGAAAAAACTTGCAATTGTACTTCAAATAGTAAAGCAACTGAATTAAGCAATATGTCAAAAATAATGCAGAAGAATTTCGAAACTAAAATTTTGCAACAAAGCTACACAATTAAAAGTCTCAATGAACGCCTGAGAAAGGAAAGAGGTGACCCAAAGTTCTCCAACTGTTCGCGGCTGAACGAGTTCGTAAAACGAGAAGGTTTCTCGATGTCTATGTGTGGCACTCAGCTAGGAAACCAGCTGGGTAAGTTGTTTTCACCGAGCGTTAAAAAAATCAGCCGAAATAAAAAAGCATCCGAAAACGCGCAGGGTATATAAACCAGCCGAAAAGTTACATCATATAAATGAAACTTGCATAACTTTCGTAACTATTGCATATTACATAATAGTTGAATAATTATTATATTACAGTTAAATAATTTCTAATGGTTGATACTTCGGCTGGTTTATTCTTCGGCTGATTTATATATCACCGTATTCGCCATCTAAATTGAGTTAATAAAGAACACCACCGCCATGGTCGCGTGATAGGTGCAAGCGAGTCTCTTTAAGTATTCCCCTTTTTGCAAAAGGGGGAGATTCGTTAGTAGGTACAAAACTTACATATGCTTAACCTTTGAGTTATTTCTATTGAGTGGCGATTCGTTACTAGGTACCCTAAGGGGGAAGCTAATTATGAGATTCATACATGCTCATCTCAAACAATGATAACCTTAATTTATTTTTTAAATTTTTGTTTATGCTTCAAGACGACCAAATTAGTTTTCTCATCTCTCCCAAAACATTTTACAGACTAATTCAGAAAAAACGGTCAGAAGTATCGGTCCAGAAGTTTTTGGAAAGTTTCGGCCAAAAATTTCCTTGTTTGAAGAGTAAGTTCGCGCACCGAGCTCCCATGGATCCTAATCGATTATGTTGTCATTATATAGACAGTGTCTAAGAAATTACAAAATAATCGATTATAATCCGTTAAAAATCGTTTATAATGCCACTATTTTTCGAAGCAATAAAATCCATTATAATCGATTATAACCGATTATAATCGATTTTTTTGTGTTTATTCCACAACATTTGAGTTTGAGTTATGATCCACTATAATCGATTAAAATCTTTAGACGCCCGGCGGCCATCACTTAGAGTTTTATCTGGTTTTACAATGTATTTTTAATTTACAACCGATAATCGCAAGGAAGTTTCCGATAAATGCACCGCCTGTTCGTCACGCTAGCTGTTTTTTGTAAGAATAATTTTCTGCAATTACTTAGTCTAATACTGATTGTAGTCCTTCGCTTAATATCCTGGTTTCAGGAATCTGTAGGAAGCACTGATAAAAGCGAGGTTTAGTTTGCAACTACCTTTAATTAAGTTTTTTCAAATGGTGGTCTAATCAGTGAAATACACGTTTTTTAGGCTTCAATTCTGGATCAATTCATCAGAATTATAAATTTAATAATCACAGATCAAAGTTAAAAAACGTAGAAGTTTGAAGCGAAGTTCAAAGAAAAAAAACAGGAAAACTTTTAAGACCAATTGTTTTTGTCGCCGTAAAAATTTAATTTATCTTGACAATTTACCAAAATTCTAAAATTCCATCGGCAGTCATTGAGTTTTCAATATTATATAGTTTGATTGTGAATAATTCTGTAGAAATTCTCAAAAATTGGTTTTTTGATGCATTTTTTCAGCTTCAAAAAACTATTGCTAACAGTTTACTAAGCGCTAGGCTGCGATTGAGCAACAAGTAGTGTATAAAAGTTTTTGAATGTGAAGTTTATCAAACACAAATTTTTGAATGGTTTTCCAATTTGATTGCTTTTCTTTGTTTTTTTCCACAGAGTTCAGCCTCTGTTTTTCTGTTCATTTGTTCAAGTTTTGTCTCTGGAAAATAAAAAGTTAAAAACTGCCAAATGTTGTGAATCATTTTATCAAATTCGGCTTCTTTATGCAACTTACAGGGAGTAATTAAATCAGCTGAAAATTGAAGCAGTAGAAAATTTTCATAACAATGTCTTACCAAATGCGTTTCAGAAATGAGAACAGAAAAAAATCGATAATTTATTTGAAATGCACAGTTCAAAACTAATTCAAGTTTTAATTTTATCCTGTTTAATTTTTGGATTAAATATGTACAATCAAAAATGACGGAAAGGTAAGTTTGGGTGGGTTTTTCATTCAGATAATTTTTGACTGTTTAATAAAGTTTTTCCAAGTTTGTTATAGCATTTCAATTACACCATGTACTTCGTTTGAAATTTTAGAAAAATATATCACATTTCTAGTCGGTAGGGAAATTTGAGTTTTAGAAAATGCCAATTTTTTGCAGCTTGTAACAGTTTTTGAGCTCAAAAACTTCCAAGCTCTGTTTGCTCGTATCACATGCTAGGCAAAACAATCCAGCTCAAACAATAAACCAAATTGTATGGCTACGCGACAACTCGCATCAAAAGACAAGTTGCAACAAAAGGAGACATGCAAAGTTTAAGGGATGCGTCAACTCCAAAGTTTGAAAAATAGTTTATAATTAAAGAAGTTTAAGGTCGCCGGTGGACATAATCAGCTCTAAATTTATTTAAAATTTCCTCAGTATGCAAGCTCGCAACACGTAGTGCGATTGTGGCGGTGCAAAAATTGCGAGTTGCCTTATTATTAGTCTTTCGATTAGTTTTTTATTGCGAATTGTCTTTTTTTGTGATTAATTTTTTATTGCAAAATGAAATATTGTGAAGTGTCACATTGAAAAATTAAATTGAGGCTAGCTAAAAGGTTGAAATATTAATTTAAAAGAAAAAACAAAAAAAAAATGAATTTGAGCTTTGCATTATTTGCCGAGGAATTTGTTCAAAAGAAAAAATTTTCTTCAAATTTTCTAACAAAAACTTGAAAATTGTTCAAGTTAATTTTTTTAGTCCCAATAACTATTTTTACGACCTTTTTATATCCTATTTATATGCATAATACGGATCGAAAATTAGTTTCATTTATATCAAAATTTGGTTGATTCAGCTACTTTTTACGGAAACGTATCATACAACCAGATAAAAAGTTAAACAAAACAGTTTTTGTAAACAATGTCTCACGAATTGTGTTTTCAGAACTAAAAATTGAATAGATAGATGTTTTAGTTGAAACCCAAAATTCAAAACACCTTAGTTTTCAATTACATCTTGAGCCCAATTTAGATTACATAAATAAACAAGACTGCTCGTATCAGGGCGAAGCCCTGAATGTTCCGACTGCCTTTTAAGTTTTATGGAGCAGTAAGAACATAAAAAAAATTAAATGTAATAAAAAAAGTGAAATTCTTTTTTCTATAATTTGATTTTTTTTAAAAAATAATCCCCCCACACGTCATAATAAGTACTAAGTGATAGATTTCGCTCCTGTTAACAAATCAATATGGCATAGAAGCCTCCTTGAACCAATTTGGAACGATTTCTAAGACGGACTAAATCTCGCTTACGCGTTAATAGCGCGAAATATATCGCGCGTTAATTGTCCCAAATTGGCCAAAATGGCAATCTTTAAACCCGTATAACTTTACGAAAAATTATCATTGGTAAAATATCTTTTCAAATTTAAGCTCAAGACAACAAAACCTTTCGAATGATGTAAAAAAAAATTCGTCAAAATTGACTAGTTAAAAAGTCGAAATTTGTCTGAAGAAAAAAATACCCACCCCGAGCACAAATATTCCGTTACTTTCGTATCGAAAGTCGGAACAACAATCAAAATTATGCAATACACCACTGAAACCAAAAACAACTCGATTTATTCCGAGCAAGTATTTGCCAAGCGATAATTATTTCAAGCTTTTTCAAATAACAGGACGGAACATTTAGTTGTGATAGTTTTTAATCAGACAAGTTTCGGTTGTTCATAAACAAATGTAATTGTCTATCTCAAAAACATCAGTGTTTTGAAATCGAATATTGAACACAAAATGTCAAATTTTTTGTCTGTCGAAAAAACATGAGGTCTGAAAAATTGCCATTTTTTCCAAGTGTTAATATTTCGTGCGCTGATAATCTTCAAGTCTTTAATAGCCCGTAGAGAACGCAGTGAACTGATACGTCTGAACATTTCTTCGAAATTGAATGAGGCTAGCTAATTGATCGACATCAGTAAGAGCAAATTAAATCTTTCTATGCTTTGCATTAATTGTTGCGAAAACTTGAGGCTCCATATTGATACAATCAGTGATGCTCTTTTTGTTCATTGATAATATACTTGATATCTTTAGACTCTGTTGTGTACAAATTCAATATCCGTTTATTTATTTTTGGTTGATAGCAAAATACAACCACGTGGAAAACAGCGTGCAAAATGACCAAATAACATTTGAAAACAAGATACTCAAATTTGAAAAATGACCTTCCATTTAAACAAATTGACCACCTGAGTTTGCATGAAGTTCTACAAGTGGTATAGTTTTGGCAAAGTTTTTGAGTGAATAGAACAGAAATGGTGGGCATAAGAACATAAAAATGGACGGGCTGGACAAATTTTATGAAAATTCTACGAATTTTAATTTTTTATATCCATTTTTACTTCGTTTAGTTCAGACCAGACATTTGAATTGGTTATTTTTATATTAATTTCTATTTTTCTACTTCGTCTACTTAAGCATCGTGGACTCAATTATAGCTTACTAAAATGTGTATCAGAGTCAGCTTATTGCTGGCAGTTTGGAAGAGTTGCCAAGCTCCCTTTCATCTCAAACTAAATCTCACGAAAAGAATTACAATCCAAGTTAATGTGTTGCATTTGATTGGTCTGTTTTGATTGGTCTGTTTTGATTGGTCTGTTTTGATTGGTCTGTTTTGATTGGTCTGTTTCTGTTTAGGAGTTCTAGCTCTGGGAATGATGATTGAAAACCAGTTTGGAGTTAAATTGATTATCAACAAATCCCAGCGATCGAAGTTGGGGGCTGTCTTTCCAATTGATGACATCTGCAAAAGTGATGGATCTACTTTTTGCATTACCAACCCTGAAGGTTTGCTTGTGTTTCCTTTTTTGATTTCTGATGAGAATTTTGTGACTTTTGATGTGCATTTTTGATCTATGACGAGCTTTTTTTATTGAGTTTTTGTCTTGAACCTTATTCTGAAAGTTTTTTGGTCAATTTCATGTGCAAAATTTAATGTTTTACGTTTTCTAACAATTGTTATCAAATAAACGATTAATAATGCGTTTGGAGATGCCGCTAGACAGACTAATTAGGAACTAAATAGTAAACGTAAAATTTTATTCGATCTTTTCTTATAAATTCTGTTTTCTTATAAAAAAAGATGCGTTTTGACAAAAATTTATCTAGCTATCAAACAAACTAATTTCTCTGAGAAACAAGTTTTAAAAATTTTTCTACTGAAATTTGAAATGCTACAATTGCTATAGTAATATCAATCCTTAGAAATTGACCAGTTACAGTGTCTAATATGTGTCAATTTTTGGGTAATCGATACTGCCTTGGCCAATTTATAGTAAAGCACTTTGGCTTTTCTAACATGTCAATAATGCTAATGTATATAGGTAATATAAGTTATTAAAAGAAGGTCAACAAAAACCGTTAAATTAGGGTGCAGATTTGATACTGATAACATGGAAATAGTGGCTCACGAGAAGGAAGAGCTATGGACTCATGGACTGGCCATATATGGATCCACTCCTGATGACGTCAGGGGAAAGGGAGTCCTTTTACCACAATATCCATCCTTCATTTCATGGATCTACGAAGGTAATCAGTAATCAAGTCATCCAATCAGTAGCGGACTTAGGGGGGGGGGGGGGGCTCTCTTCCCTCAGGCATTCCACCCCCTGCCGACCCTCTTTGCACTATTTTGAGATATACCTTTTTTTGTGCAGCGTAAAAATTTTCTTACAGGGCCTTCGGCGCCAATATTTATTAATTTGAAGTGGAAGCGCGCGCCAAAAATACGCAATCATTTGGACAAAAATTTCCGAAAAATGCCTAAAAACGCCTTTTTTGGCCTGTTTTTTTTCAAAAGTTTGCCTGCGGTGCAGAAAATTTGGTCCAAATGATGTCTTTAGAGTGCTTTGGGAGAGCTCGGAAAAAATTGTACAATTTTGAGATATACATTTTGGCTGACGGACCGTAAAATTTTCTTAAGGCGCCTTTGGCGCCAATATCTACTATTTCTGAGTGGGGAGCGCGCGCCGAAAACATCTAATTTTTTGTTCGAGTTTTCTTAAAAAATGCCTGAAAACGCCATCTTTGGCCTTTTTGTTTCAAAATTCTGCCTGCGGTGCAGAAAATTTGGCTAAAACAGGGTCACTTAAGTGCTTTGGGAGAGCTCAGAAAATCAATTTAGTCATTCTTAAAAAAAGGTCGACAAAATTTCCGATAATTTTAATCCCTCCTCGAGAAAATCCTAGATCCGCCCCTGCATCCAATCACATGTTACTATTTATATGTTAAGAAATATGTCCCTTTCTGAGCAAATTAGAGGTGTGTCTAAGAGTTCTTTGAAAAGTAACCAGTGGCTGGCGCAATTTTTTTACAAGGGACAACTTTTGTTGTTATTTTTTCTTGTTGTTTTTGTTGTTGTTTTTCCAGTCTTAAGTCATCCACGCCCCTGTTTACATAGCAGGAAGCTCCTTTAGAAAATATGTGACAGTCATAATTGTCGGGCGGGGTTACTAGTTATAGGCATATTATAGTATAACTATGAAAAGCATATTATGACCCTTCTGTTACTCAATAAAAAAATTTGAGTGAATAGTCCGATTATAAAAACAAGACTAGTCGTACATCAAAGCAAAGCCCTGAGTATTGCGACTGCCATTTAATAGATATCAAATAGTTTTTGGTTGAAAAAATTTTGTGACTCTAAATTTTGGACGAAAAGACTGCTCGTATATTGGGACAAGGCCTTGACTGTTCCGACTGCACTTAAAGGCCAACTAAAAAATATAATAGTAAAATAACTCGTATATTGGGGCAAGGTCATGACTGTTCCGACTGCACTTAAAGGCCAACTAAAAAATATATTAGTAAAATAAATGACGAAATAATCGGAAAAAAGGATTTTTATTTCTATTTTTTTTTTCATTTTGTCACCCCACTTGCTCTGTAAGATAAAGGTGTGTTTAGCGTCTCTTACTTGCTGTAAAAAGACCAAGACTGCTCGCATCAGGGCGAAGCCCTGAAAAATCCGACTGTCTTGTAAGGTCTATAGAACAGTAATAACATTAAACAAATTAAATGTAATAAAATAAAAATAAAATTTTTTAAATTAAAATTTTTGTGAAAATCATCCTCCCACACGCCATATAAAGCACTACGTTATAGATTTCGCTCCCATTAACAAATAAATTTGGCAAATAAGCTTCTTTTAACCAATTCGGAACAATTTTTAGGACGGATTAAATCTTCGCCTACGCGTTAATAGCGCAAAATATATCGCGCGTTAATTGTCATAAATTCGCCAAAATGGTAATCTTTAAAGAACCAGAAGTTTACGGAAAAAAAATCACACATAAAAATGTTTTTATAAATTTAAGCTCAAGAAAACAATATCTTTGCGTAGGCGCCAAGCGAATTTGGGATAGTCCGCACAACCCCCGATTAATCCAGGTGCCAACCCCACTCGAAGAATGAGTGGTATGAACATTAAAAAAAACTAGTGAGCATTAACTTCCCTCATTTTTTTCGAAAGTTGGAAAGAGTCTCAAGTACGAAAGTAAGGGAATATTTGTGCTCGGGGTGGGTTTTTTTCTTCAGACAAATTTCGTCTTTTTAACTAGCCAATTTTGACGGAATTTTTTATATCATTCGAAAGGTATTGTTGTCATGAGGTCAAATTTGAAAAGATGTTTCACCTGTGATCATTTTTTGTAAAGTTATGAGGGTTTAAAGGTTGCCATTTTGACCAATTTGGGACAATTAACGCGCGATATAATTCGAGCTAATAACGCGTAAGCGGAGATTTAATCCGTCTTAGAAATCGTTCCAAGTTGGTTGAAAGAAGCTTATTTGACATAATTGATTTGTGACAAGGAGCAAAATTTATCCTTTTGTACTTTATAGGGCGTGTGGAGTGATGATTTTTGTTTGAAAAATGTCAAATTTTAAAGAAAAAAAATTGCATCATATTTTTGTACATTGAGTTATGACCTATTGGTTATACTCATAGAGTAATTTCAGATAAGGTACACCGTCTGCTCGTCACACTATCTTATTTTCGGCCGGATAGATTCGTGCAACTTCTCAGTCTAATACCGATCTTAATCTTAGTCTTATATCTCCTAGTCTCAATAGATCTAGTGTATACTGGTTTATGCGAGTTAGTTCTTGGAGTTTATCCAGAAGGAGAACAACTGTATTCAAAGTTTTCTTTTAATTGTTCTGGTGCTGAAACTAGAAGTAGTTTCAACACTTACTCAATGCTAGAGATGGAATATGATTGGTTAGTTATAAGTATTTTATAGTGATAATCTATCATCAATATAATTGGTTTATAAATACTAGTTTAGAACTGGTTCCAACATTTAATTTTTTTATGTTATTACTGCTCCATAAACCTTAAAAGGCAGTCGGAACATTCAGGGCTTCGCCCAGATTTGAGCAGTCTTGTTTTATTTTAGTTACCGTTTTTCAGTGACTTTCATTTTACTGTAAGTTTTATTGAAAAAGTTTAATGCATAGTTTGTAGTTCAAATCAAGTGCTGCTGTTTTTGTCAGCGAATGAACTAAAAGTGTGTAAACGTGCTAAAATTTCATGCCATATGCAGTTAATTTGCTGCCGGTTTCCCTCCCGTTTTATCAAAACTTTAATTTTGAGCAGAAGTACTTAGTTTCTATCAAAAGTTCAGACAAAAAATGCTTCAGGCAATGTTTAAGTTGGGCAGAAACGTTTTTTAGAATTTTTTTAAATATGATTGCTGATCAACGGCAAAAGAAAACTGCTTCTAAATTGGTAGCAAAATTCGTATCGAAAGTCGGAACAATAAAAATTGATGCCAGATGCAATTAATTTGCTGCCGGTCTCCATTCCATATTATCAAAAATTTTGTTTTGAGCAGAAATACTTAGTTTAAATCAAAAGTTCAGACCAAAAATGCTTCAAGCAATGTTTAAATTGGGCAGAAAGAAACGTTTGGTAGAATCTTTTTAAATGTGATTGCTGATCTACGGCAAACAAAACTGCTTTTAATTTAAATTTTTGATTATTTTTTAGGCCGTGTAAAAACTCTAATTCTCACCTGTTTCTAGGTTTTGCTGTTGTTTTTTTCCAGGTTATATCGCCAGATTTCGAAACAGCATAAAATTCAGAGATGACATCTGGGCAGAAGCCAATTTTGTCATGACTAAATTAAGACAACATTACGATTGTGTGCCGTATTCTAATTGCACGGCTGTGATGCTTCACCTGAGAATGGCGGGATACTCGAAACACCTGGCGAAGTATAATTGGGGAATAGACGTTATTCGGAAAACGAACTACATTCAGAAAGCACTACGACATATACGAAATAATTATGATGTTAGTCCCGAAGTCAGGCTACTGGATTTTATTTCATTTTTCACGAGCGAGATGCGGCCGTTTTGCAAGTAAAACACCCCAATTGAGATTTTTAGTGAAGCACTGAGTCGAAACCGGCCCGGTTTTGGTCGATAACGTCGTAACATTGGTCGATAGCTTAATCGAAACCTAAGTTGAAATCACTCTGCAACTAAAACGGTTTATCCAACCGAAAGTCGTAAAAAAAAGATTTTCATATTGCGTTTGTCGCTTTTTTTGGTTTTCACAACTATTAGCCCTTGTGGCGAGCTTAAATGAATAGACAAAACCATTGCCTCTCAAATCTTGTAGCAATTTTTTTTTTCCAACGGTACCCTTTTTTTGACCAATTAAGTCTAAATTTGGGCAAATTAAATCTAAGGATGCCTTCTGTGTGAATCTAAACTGATTTTAAAAGAGCTGCGAAAAGGGGCAGTACAACAGTGCCGAAGTACAACAGTGCCGAAAATGAAAACTTTGTTCAACAGTGCCGAAAAACAAAACTTTGTTCAACAGTGCCAAAAATTTGAACAAATTTCAATATAATAAGTGCGGCAATCAAAAATTAAACAGCTATCGTTTACAATCTTCATTGGCACTTAAAGATTTTGGAAGAGAAAATTTGCAATTTAGACGTTTTGGCGCCAAAATAATTTTTTAATTTGCTGTTGCAGCGCAGTTTGGTGCCGAAATTGGAGTGATTTTCTTTGATAATTAGCGTCAGTAATTTCCCGCTCTTTACAAAATGCGTGTAAATTATTCTGAAAATTTCACGCCTTTTTCGGCATGTTGTACTTCGGCACTGTTGAACGCCCCCGGCAAAAAACAACAGGATTTTTGGAGGCCTATAAAATTGCCTAAAAATTTTTTTTCTCACAAAAATGCCTTCAAAAAGCTGTTATTGCTTTGAAACTTTTTGTTAAAAAAAACTTCTGGGAAGTTTGAATAGCCAAAATAGCTGATTATTGTTCCGTCTTTCGATACGAAAGTAACGGAATATTTGTGCTCGGGGTGGGTTTTTTTTTCTTCAGACAAATTTCGACCTTTTAATTAGCCATTTTTGACAATTTTTTTTAATATCATTCAAAAGGTATTGTTATCCTGAGCTTATTTTGGCCATTTTTACCAATTTCGGACAATTAACGCGCGATATAATTAACGCGTAAGCGGAGATTTAATCCGTCTTATAAATCGTTCCAAATTGGTTGAACGAAGCTTATGTGCCATAATTGCTTTGTTACAAGGAACGAAATCTATCTTTTTGAACTTTATATGGCGTGTGGGGGATGATTTTCATTAAAAAATTTCAAATTTTAGAAGAAAAAAATTTTCATTTCATTTTATTTCTTTTAATTTTATATGTTATTACTGCTGCTCCATAAAACTTAAAAGGTAGTCGGAACATTCAGGGCTTCGCCCTGATACGAGCAGTCTTGTTCTATGTTTATGCAGAATAGTCTGAATTTAGGCCACACTTAATTTTTAGAAAGCCGATCCTCAAAAACTTACGTGTACAGCCACTGAATAGCAGCCCCAGTTGAAAATATTGCTTAAAAACCTGGACCTGCTTGGAGTTACTCCAGACTTGATTAAATAATTATAAAAACAGATATTTGGGCTTAACGAGATCAAAAAATTTTCAAATTATTGGAAAGTTCCGCTCCAATCCTAATACACGAATTTTCAATTGGTGCGCGCTAAAAAGTGTCCTAAATGGTGATTATTTTTTCAAGTAAGGGTGTTAATTGTTTATTAAATGACAACTTCGCTCAAAAAGTGATTGAAATAGTCAATTCCATATAATAAAATTACGCACGTTTGCTAGACAAAAAATTGGATTAGGTGTTTAATTTTAAAATTACTTGTCATTCCTACAGAGAGTGAAAAAAAACTATGAGTTAGCTGGTGTTTTTCCCACCCAATTCTTACAATCTTCGAAAAAAAACTCATAGGGGATCGAACATACTGTTGTTTCAAAAACCTATCAACCGCGGATCGAATTTTGAAAAAAAAAAATATTTCAAAAATGGAACCTGATCTAAACTACATTTTATGATTGGATAATTTAGATATTTTACCAATGTAAAGTATTTAATATTAACCAATCATGATCCATCTAACTAACAACCCACTTATTTGTAAGTGCTGAAGTTACTTGTAATTTCAGCACCAGAGAGATTTGAATTTAACTTAGAAATTAGTTGACTCTCCAAGAAGACTTCAGCTGCCGCAATAAACCAGTATACCCTAGATCTATTGAGCCTAGCAGAGACTAGTTAAACAACCTGAGACTAGATAGTATAAGAGTAAGATTAGGATCGGTATTAGACTAAGAAGTTGCACGAATCTATCCGGCCGAAAATAAGATAGCGTGACGAGCAGACGGTGTACCCTATCCGAAATTACTCTATGAGTTAACCAACTCGGTCCTAACTCATCTGGTGCGACCATAAGTCTCGAACAAGACCTTAATAGCTTAGAATTAACCAAAATCGATTAGAAATTAGACAAAAACATTTACAAAATGTTATACGACAATAATTTAATCGAAATGTCTCTACGACTCAATAGATCAGAGCCAATATTCCGAACCATAACAGAACTACCCGGAATTGGAAGAAGACCTCGAACCAGAGACGACATACGACAAAGTAGAAACTTACCATATAGTTATATGATAGTTCGGCAAAAGCCAACACAAACTTTTGTATTTAGAATACTACTAGCAATGAATTTAGATTTTCATTTGCAAACATAAAATTTTGAAGTCAATGTTCAAAATCATTCCAGGCGCTAAACAAAATTATTAATATACAATAACGATTGATAAAAAGATCTAAGATCGTTTTCCTAAATTCTGCAGTAATATACAAAACATGTTTGAAAAATATTTATTGAAAAATAAAAATAAAAATTAGTAGCATGACAATAAATGGTTAGTAATCATAAATCATCCTGTTGTTCCAGCTCCATCACCTAAAACATAACAGCAATCATAAACCCACTAATATCATCAAAACACTAAATCTTTCCTTTACACACATTTAAAATTTTATTAAAACTTAAATTCACTTAATTTTAAAACCAGATCATCAAGGCTTATCCTTGGATCTTAAATAATTTTCTACTTAATTAAATTTTAAAATTGATCATCAAGGCTTATCCTTGGATCAAACAGAACAACTTTGTTCTCCCCCACCCACTTAATTAGTGTCTAACGACCTCAAACGTCGATTCACTACCCAACCCTTTCTAAAGACCTAAGACTAATAGAAATTTTTAAACAAAACTAATCATTCAAATTAGGATAAACAGTGAAGAACTTCGGTTATTCATCCTTCACTTGACCCCCCCTCTTACCAGACCCAGGATAAATCTTAGACTTAGTAAGTTTAAAATAGTATCTAACGAACTACTCGCGTTCTAATTATACCTGAACCTTGTGGATCGATTTACTATTCTCCAACCCTTGAACACAATCACTACCCCTAAGTAAGATTAAGTAAGTTAACACCTTAACTTATACTAGCCACGAGAAAGTAAAAAATCATTCTTCGGAATCGATATACTTTTCTCTCCAACCCTGAACAAATAGACCCAGGTTAAGCTAACCAAAAAATCGTAAGAACTAACAGTTTAGGAAAATAGAAATCATTTAACAACCTTTTGCATCCGTCATCCTAAACCTTATGTCATTTAAAAACCTAGGAAATAAGCAAACAATCGTTTTACACAATTGTGAAATAGATAAAAAAAAATACGACCTTGTAATCACACCTCATACACAAACAGTTGGATACATTCGAACAAAACGACAAACACTAAAAAGAAAAATAATAACGAAACAAAGACAAATAACACGAAAAAGATTTTCAAAAAATCGAAACGCATTTTCAGAATCAGAAACCAACAGTTTAGACGAGCTTTACAAACTAAAAGAAACAATAGATAAAAATTGCCCACTTCACGATCAATTATATTTTTCTGACTCAGAAACAACTTCAAATTCATCAAAAAGAGGAAAAAGAAGAATAAAAAAGCAGTATAAACACAAACCAGTACATTTATACAATTGGAATCAACCAATTCGACACATTAATAATTACATATTAACAGTCATCGAACGAAAAAATGAGCTCAACGCACACCCCAGGTGAAGAAAGTCCAGATGATGATGAAATCTTTCCTTTTATAGTAGATGCAACCACTGATAGAGGACAGCATATATTTTGCAAAAATTTACTATTAAATTTATTTGAACCCGGAATCAGTCCATGTAAAACAGAGTTCCCAGATGTAAAAATCAAAAGACAAATCATAGACCACTACTTAAAAGATATATGCAACATAACACAACAGTATGGAATCTACTCCATAGAATTCACCTCACCAAACCATAATAATAGAAAATATACAATTCAAACAGATGATCTTGATTTAGAATTTTCAAAAGTTTTTTCAGAATATATAAAAAGCATCCAATATCATAACTCACAAAGAGCAAACTCCATATTCACCAATGAAGTTTTCGCAATAATATATAGTTATATTTCGATATTAGAAAACGAAATCCCAATAACAAATGTCTCACCGACAGAAACATCTAAACATTTAAGAGTACGACATGAAATCACACTACTCTCTAGTTATTTAAACATCATTAAAGAAAATTTCACGAAAGACGACGTTTCACAACATACAAAACACGATCTACAAAAAATTTTGGCATGGTTCATAATAGATTATTTCACACACAATATTGATTTAATTGCACAAGCAAGAAAAAATTTTAGACCCCAAAACTCGAACGATGATACCGCTATCACAGAACAATCAGATTATGTTTGGGACCCCGAATGGTCTCATCCCGCATTTATAAGCTTCCCACAATCAATCTCAAGTCAAGCAATAAGTACGATATCTTACATAAGAGATTATGTAAAAGTAATACCATTAACCATTGATGCAACACCATTAAACTA